ATCCATTCAGGAAGTCCAATGAACCCCAAACAGGACAGACTCCAAAAGAAAATCACGAAGAATATCATCATCAAACTCACCAAAACCAAAGACAAAGAATCATGAGAGCAGCACAGGAAAAATGAAAAGTTACCTAACAAGGGGCAACCAATAAGACTAAGCTCGGATTTCTCAACAGAAACCATGTAGGCAAGAAGACAGTGGGATGATATATATAAAACACTGAAAGAGAAAAGTTTCCAACCAAGAATATGTACCCAGCAAAACTGCCCCTCAAATATGATGGTGAATTAGGACATTTCCAGATAAGCAGAAATTAAGGGAATTTGTTAAAACCAGACCAACCTTACAAAAGATGCTAAAGGGAGCCCTTTGGACAGAGAAGCAACAACAACAAAGAACAACTGACCATTAACACACATGATGATATAACCCAAAAACCAACCCAGCTATGGAAGGATGCAAAATAAACAAGCCTGAAAGATTGTAAACAGGGAACCAAAGACACCAATTGACAAATGAGGACAACTACAAACCAAAAAGAGGGAAAAATCTTTGTCATTACAGAACTTCTAGATGGTAGGGAGGTCAAGACAACTACAAGATAGAATGGACTGTGCTACACTGGGAAGAAAACTATAAATCACAGGGTAACTTCAAAGAAAAAGGATAAACCTTCACATCAAAATAAAAAAGAAGACCAGCATAAATATTCAGCGAATACTAAAACAATAGCAGTGAAGGAAGTGATAACATGATTCATAAACAAAACAGGCTCAGCATCGAAAATTATATGGAACAAAGAAATCGACACAATGAAAAAGCATGACAAAAATAAATTCATATTTGCTGATAATTAGTATCTGGCAAGGGACTTATCTCTAAGATTGATGGAAAACTCCAAAGCCTCAACACCAAAGTAATTAACAATCCAATTGCCTTAGAAAGTTGGAATTGGAGATGCCATGTGACCCAGCAATCCCATTACTAGGTATATAACCTAGAAAGGTGAGAGCCAGGATAGGAACAGATACATGTACACTCATGTTCATCACAGCCCTATTTACAATAGCAAAAAGATGGAAACAACCTACCTGCCCATCAGCTGAAGAGTGGATGACCAAACTATGGTACATACACATACTAGAATGCTATGCAGCACTAAAGAATAATGTAGAGTCTGCAAAACACTGCATAATATGGATGAACTTGGAGGACATTATGCTGAGTGAAATAAGTCAATCACAGAAGGACAAATATAGTATTAGTTCGTTGTTGTGGAGGGTCAAGGAAAGGTTTATATATGGAGAGAAACTTTCTCTGTTAGTTGCCAGGAATGGGAGGGGAGGGAGAGAACACTAAAAAAAAAAAAAAAAAAAAGCATTGACCATGTCACTTTAGTTTTGTGTACTTGTATATAAATTATATTTCAATAAAATGCATTAATAAATAAATAATTGATCGATGCACAACTATTTCAGGAGGTAGCATATGGTTAAGAATGGATGGTACTGAAGGAGGAAATCCAAACTACATTGAAGACATTGGTGAAAACTAGGCTCCAGGAATTGACAGAATATCAACAGATGTTTCAACAAATGGATGCAATGCTGGAAGCACTCACTTGTCTATGCCAAGAAATTTGGAAGACAAGTACCTGGCCAACCAACTGGAAGAGATCCATATTTGCACCCCATTCCAAAGAAAGATGGTCGAAAGAATGCAGACATTATCGAATAATACCATTAATGTCAAACAAGTAAAACTTTGCTGACAATAATGAACAAATGGTAGCAGCAGCACATTGACAGAGAAAATTCAAGCTAGAGTCAAAAGAGGACATGGAATGAGGGCTATCATTGCTGATGTAAATAGATCTTGGCTGAAAGCAGAGAATAGAAAGATAACATGCATACCTGTGTTTTATTGACTATGCAAAGGCATTCAACCATGTAGATCATGACAAATTATGGATAACACTGCAAAGAGTGGGGATTCCAGAACATTTAATTGTGCTCAGGAGAAACCTGCAGACCAAGAGGCAGTCATGTGAACAGAACAAGGGGATACTATATCGTTTCAAATCTGTGTGTCAAGGTTGCATCCTTTCACCATACTTACTCAATCTGTATGCTGGGCAAATAATCTGACAATCTGGACCATATGAAGAATGTGACATCTGGATTGGAGAAAGACTCATTAACTATGCAGATGACACAACCTTGCTAGAGGAAAGTGAAGAGGACTTGAAGCACTTACTGATGAAAATAAAAAATGACAGATTTCAGTACGGATTACATCTCAACATTAAGAGAACTAAACTACTCACAACTGGACCAATAAGCAACATCATGATAAATGCTGCAAAGATTTAAGTTGCCAAGGATTTCATTTTACTTGCATTTACAATCAATACCCTTGGAAATAGCAGTCAAGAAATCAAATGTCATATTGCATTGAGCCAATATGTTGTAAAAGACTTCTTCAGTGTTAAAAAGCAAAGATGTCAGTTTGAGGATTAAGGGCACCAGCCTCAAGCCATGGTAGTTTCAACTGCCTCATATACATGCAAAAGCTAAACAGTAAGGAATAATGAAGAATAACATCTTTGAATTATGGTGTTGCCAAAGAATATTGAATATACCATAGACTGACAGAAGAACGAACAAATCTGTCTCAGAAGAAGTACAGCCAGAATGCTCTTTAGAAGCAAGGATGGTGAGACTTCATCTCACATACTTTGGATTTATTAGGAGGGCCCAGTCCCTGGAGGACATCTTGCTTGAAAGATGAAAAAGAGGAAGACCTGTAGGAGAGATTGACCCAATGGCTACAACTATGGGCCGAAACACAGCAACAATTCTGAGGATGGTGCAGGAACAGGTGGTGTTTTGTTGTGTCATACACAAGGTCACTGTCAGTCAGAACGGACTGGACAGCCCCTATTCTGTACCACCATTATACTGCTTTGACTTTTAATTTAGAAAAACATCTGTAATTTGTGCACAAAAATTATAATGTCCTCTTCCTCAAAAAGGCAAGAACACATAGGACACAGTTACATGCATATAAAATCATTGAACTTGTCAATTAATGAAAATCTACATAGGATTCACATATGCCTTTTAGGTAAATTGGATACAAACCTTTTACATGCTCGAAAGTAGACCAACCAAAAAACCTCTCAATATACCCAAAAAACTAAATGGGTTGTGAAAATACTTCACAATTACTACTATAAATAAAATGACATTTTCTAAGTGTTCCTAGATTTTGAAATAATAAAAAAAGAAATGTTTGTTAAGCCCTCTAGTGGAAAACCACCTTTCCAAAGAAGCTAAAACAGGCTGTCATGTGGAGCATGAGCCTTTCTTAAGTACGTGTGACAGGAAATTGGTTTCAGGAGAAATGGATTTGTAGATGAATTCTGTTTCCTTTCCAAATGACTTGTATAACGTGAGGATTTTTCACTTATTAAAAAACCACGAGTTGCCCTTTGTGCTAACTGCCTTCTGTGCATTATCTTAACTTCACCACCCACCTTTGGCCTAAGTTCTAAAAAAGTCTGGGCCCTTTTATTAGTATGAGATGAATACAGAGATAAAAATCCAGTCTAAAGCAAGATTTAAAAACCATTCACATTTATACAACTTGTTTCCAATTTCCACTGTCCTCGGGTTCGGCTACCCACAGATAAACGGAAATCTAGAAATAAACCCATGACATTTGGAAAATTGACCCGTTTTAATCATTTAAAAACAAAACAAAACAGAACACAACATCACATTTCCTTTACCATCTACAATTCAGTTATATTCAAACATTCTACAACCAAACAGATCGTCCCTGGCCCAACAGCAGGGAATGGAAAGGAGATGCTGAAGATGCACGAAGGTGAGCGCTGCGGATCAGAGTCCCAGCTATCAGTCAAGTCTTCCCTTCAAACACACTCCAAGGCTTTTCGTTTCACAGTTAAGGTGTTTTATAGGAAGTTCTTGAACAGAATTTCAATCCCAGACACTAGGCTTGTTCGATGATACACAGCTCCATGAAATTTGCATTTCCATATGATTGAGAGGAATAAAAAGTAATTTTGTCTTTTTTTTGGTGGCACAGAGAAGTAAACTATCAGCCAGATTTCCTTCAGTAAGAAGTGAGGACAAGAGAAGATCTGGCTGTGCTGGGTGCTGGTTTCTATTTATCTTTCCGAGGGTGCGACTTCTCACACTCATGCCACTACAATGATTAGTACTAGTCATCTCTTTTTTTTAGATGATAAAAAGGAAAATATCCAATGGACATAAAAATGGTCAAAAGTCGGCGTTTTTTTTTTTTCCCCACTGCAGGTCAAGTCCCCAACCCTTACCCCCCTCCCCCCAAAAAAAGATACAAAATGAACATATAGTTGGGATGGTAACTCTTGGACATTTCAGTTCACCAGTGGCTTGTCCCTCACACAGATAAGAGGAACAGCCATTCGGTTTTATTAGTAATGTTATAGTAGTAACCAGATGTGTTACTGGCAGTTTATTTGAGGTCCATAAGTCCTTTGAATACATGTAGGAAAGTATGGCTGTAGTTCTCTGACTGCCAATATCTGAACACATTCAGCTACCATGGAAACTACAAAGGAAGAAAAAATATATTTATTCCAAGATTCATTTACTGGGATTTTTAAGCGCCCTTTCTTCCATAGCCCAAGAGTGGTGACAATGTGCTAGGGACTGCTGTGTTTCCCAGCATGGGCTCCCATCCTCTGAGGGTCCTGAGAAGGATAGTGGATTGGTCCTGGAGCCCTCATGAAAGGAGGGGGTGGTCCCATTGGGTGGAACATATGTGGCCCAAAACCTGCAGATGGGAAAAGAACAAATCTGTCAGGCTTGTAGTTGTCTTGAAAATACTTGATATCCCAAAATCTTAATATCAGACCAGCACATAAATCCAATTGACAAGGGATTTAAGAAAATACCAGCTCACAAGACTGGCTTTGGACTGTCTATCTGTATTATTTCCTTGGTTTAGAGACCTTTCCCCCAAGTCCAAGTTAAAAAAATTGTACAGCAGTCTAGGTACCTGCTAGTTTATCTTCCGAGCCCTGCTAGGAATCAAGCATGCCAAATCCCACCAGACGGGGGCAGATGCACTCAGTATTTGGGAGGCAAGAAGAAATCATGCTGACCAGCCAGACTCTGTATCATTAACCTCAGTGTCCTATACCACAGTGGAGGGTGTTCAGGAACCAGGGCTTTCTTCAAAGAACATGGGAACTATACTACAGAAGAACTGGGTACTTATGATTTACTCACAGTTTACTCTGTCACTGACATTGTCTAGGGGCATGTTACACAGAGTGCTGGTCCTGAATTCTTTATTACTGGACACCAACAAGATAAAGAGCTTGAGCCAAAATGTAACTTAATTATTTTGCCAAGCACACTGTCTGGTTCATGTGACAGTTTGTTCATAGTAAGATTTTCTTGATGAAGGTGAAATGTCATGCTCACCATCCACACTTTGAGTAAGAGTGCTTGAGGACATCAGTTTGGGTTTAGTCTAGAACAGGGTATAAATGGTGACAGATTACTGTAGTCCAATAACCCCTGCTCTGTAATTCTAACAAACATTAGGTTTACTTGTAAACATATATAGGGAAAACTTAAAAGAATTTAAGCTGGTTTAGACTTGATGGTGAGGTGTGAAGATGGAACTTTCATAAGGATTTTCTCTGGGCTAACGAAGTCATGTTCATTTACTAAGAAGGAAGATGGAAGTTACCTGGGGGTGGGGGTGGAGCAATGCCAGGGGGTGGAGGCAGGGCAATGTTGACTACGGCTGGAGGACCACTTGGGGGCAGGTTGAAATAATTGGCAGAGGCTTCCTCTTCTGCTGCAGGAGGAGGAGGAAGAGCTGGAAGAGAGAAAATAGCCAAGGATGGAGAGGAGTGCAATTATGCAACACTGCTTCTACCCACTTTCATCTCCTCCAAGATCCTGCTAGGAGAACAGAGCTGCTGCAGGACGAGGTTCGACACCTCATCTGGCAGAGGAACATCAGGGGAGATGGAACATCTGCAGTCGACAAGCTAAGTAGGCAGGAAGCAGCGTGCACTTACCTCCTGGCAGTCCTGGAACGGGCTCGAGCTTGATTCCAGAGTCTGTGGTTCCGTCCTTCTCTTTTTCTTTTCCTCTGGCTGCTTGGGATCTGGGAGACAGACACACACATCATCAGCACTTTATCCACCTCATCTCACACCTCTGCTTCTCACATTCTGAACTCGAGTGAGGTTCTTTTACTTTTTGCTTCCTCTTCAACAAATATTCTTTCCCCATAAATGCTACAGTGCAGAGTGGACTAGAGCAAAGGTTTTGAAGCTAGAAAGACTAGGGATCCAAACTTACTTGCTAGAACTGTTGTAAGGATTAGAAGTGGCAAAATATGTTTGTTTAGCACCATGCTCAGCACATAGAAAGTGCACCATAAGGGGAGCTGCTGCCATCAGTGATTCTCTCCCAGGTTCTAAGCTGGAAACTCATTTCCACTTTGAACTTTAGGACATTTTCACCTGTATTTCTTTTATGCAATCATCACTTTCAAACCTAAGTGAGTCATTCCATTCTAGCATCTCCACTAGAAAATCAACCTACAGAGGGCAGAATCTAGATATAATTAATTTGTCAACACTGAAGTCTACTTTCCATTCCCTAGCATAATACTTGCCCTATTAAAATTGGTCACAAAAAATAACCTGCAAAGGAGATTACTACACAAGACCCTGAACAAATTTTCAAAGTATCATTCTCCCAACATCCAATAGGAAAAATAAATTCTTTCTAAGGCTCCTACTCATTTAAGCCTATTTGCCAAATGTTTATTGTTGTTGTTATTTGCCATCGAGTCGGCCCCGACTCCCAGCGACCCCTCCTTGGGTTTCCGAGGCAGTTATCACTATGGAAGTAGGATTGCCCAACCTTCCTTCCGAGGAGTGGCTGGTGGGTTTGAACCGCCAGCCTCCTGGTTAGCAGGCAAGTGCCTTAGGCACTATGCTACCAGAGCTCCTAAATGTTTATTAGTCACCAGATAATGAGTTTTTTTCAAATCTCAATGAGGATATTTAAAAATCATCTAGGTCTCACCGTCCCCATTTCACATTCAGTCTTCGGCCATTGACAATCAACTTATTAAAGGACTTCTCTGCAGCCACTTCTGCAGCTTGCCTTGTGGCAAACTGAATGAAAGCACACTGTTGTCTCTGCACAACAGTGATCGTCCGGATCTCTCCAAACTGGTAGAAGTGATTTCTAAAAGGATGCAGCCATAGAAAAACAAGTCAACAATACACAGACACTCCCAAGAGACTGAATATGGATGAACTCTTTCACTGACTCACCACCAAGCAGGTGGACCCCATAATTACCTAACTTTTTAGTTAGTTTTAGGAAAAAACCCAACACATTGTCAATTGAGTTGATTATAACTGATCACAACCCTACAGGACAGAGTAGAACTGCCTCATAGGATTTCCAAGGCTGTAAATCTTTATAGAAGCAGAGTGCCACATCTTTCTCCTGCAGAGCCACAAAAGCTCTCTTCATTTAGCAACTGAGTGCTTTAACGACTACACCACTAGGGCTCCTTCCTGGCACCTCCTACCTTAGCCTAATCTGGATGCTGACTATTGAGGAAGGAGGCTCCAATTGGTTCCTTAAGAGTCCTAACCCTAGGCCCTATATCAGGGGTTATGGCCCATGGGCCAAGAACGTTCAGATTTTTAAAGGGGTGCCAAACATAAAAGATGAACAATATGTGACAGAAACTATATATGGCCCACAAGCCTAAAGTATTTACTATCTGGCCTACTAAAGAAAAGGTCTGCTGACATGTGGGGATTAATTAGCTCACTTAGCCAGGGTGTCATGGAGACAGGCTACCAAGGGCAGGCTGTGAAGTTAAAGGAGTTTCTGCTCCACTTCATCTCTTTGGAAGAGGTAAATTCCATCACTATCTGCTCAAATGTCTCATCCAGCTAACATAATACAAATTTACCAAACATCAGTCTCTTTAGAAAGCCAGTCATTTAAACCTGAGGGTTTTGTAATCTCAAAGCTCCCCTTCCCCTGTATAATTAACCATGCTTAGACATGTGCCATCCTTTAAAAATTCTAATGGGTATTAGGCCTAATAGAACCCCATGTAATTATTACCACAGGCAAGGATGGAAGCAGCACCGTTAGTAAGCATTATTACTCTGGCATCATATATTACAATTCTAGAAATATTTAAATCAGCATGATACTAACTATAGAGTGGCTAAAGAAAAATGCACTCTGTATAGAATTATTATGCTTGCCTCTGTTTCTGCCGACAAATTACTCCAGGGCCACTGAAAGCTAAAAGAGCTCATAAAATTATACCCACAAACCTTAAGTCTGTCTCAGTAATGGTATCACCCAGACCACCAACATATAGTGTGGTGATAGTCTTGTCCTCTGGCGGGTCCAGACGTGGCATTGTTGAAGCCCGCTTTAGAAGCTTATCTGCCACAGGATCATTGATTCCGTAATATCGGTCTTTAATATTCTGATCAGCAAGGGGGTCATCTGGATCTGTAGGCTTCTCATGTCTATGGATCAAGCGAAAATAATGCACAAAAGTAAGACAAAGGAAAAAGATTTTTTTTTGTAAGTATCATTCAATTAAAAAAAAAAAATCAAACCTACTGCCATCGAGTCAATTCTGACTCATACAACCCCCACTGGGTTTTCAAGGCTGTAAATCTTTATAGAAGTAGATTGCCTCATCTTCTTCCCACAGAGCAGCTGTTGGGTTTGAACCACTGACCTTCTGGTTAGCAGACAAATGTCTTACCACTAAACCACTAGAGCTCCTTATCACCCAATAAACAACAACAACAAAAAAACAAACTCACTGCCATGGAGTCAGATCTAACTCATAGCAACCCCTCCTTGGGTGTCCGAGGTGGTATCACTACGGGAGTAGATTGCCCAATCTTCCTTCTGAGGAGTGGCTACCACCAGCCTTCTGGTTAGCGGTCAAATGGCTTAGGTACTACGCTACCAGAGTTCCCCTATCAACCAATAGTAGCTGCAATATCAAAGTCTCTAAAATGACTTTTGAACAAGAAACCATAGTCACAGCACTATATAATTACAAAAAAAAATTACTACGATTACTATCAAAACAGAGGATTTACTACATTTACACAAGGACTTCCTGACCACCTATAAGCAAAAAAACCAAACTCACTGCCACTGAGTCAATTTCGACTCATAACCACCCCTCCTTGGGTTTTCAAGGTGGTATCTCTATGGAAGTAGCTTGTTCAATCTTCCTTCTGAGTGGCTGGTGGGTTTGAACTGCTAGCCTTCTGGTTAGCATAAATGCCTTATGCACTATGCCACCCGAGCTCCTGACCATTTAAAATAGCATCCATTTAAGCCATTTAAATAGCCATCAAGGGTCCCATAGTTTCCATATGAATAAACCACTGCTTTTGGTGCAGTGCACCCTAAAACAAAAGGGGAAAAATGGTTACCTTTCTTTACACCAGTGATTCTTAATGTTTATGTGAGGTCCTGCATTCCACTAAGAATCTGATTAAAGCTATGGACACAGCCCCAGAAAAAGGCACATAATTTTTGTCTGTGTTGAGGGCTTGAGGGGGGGGGGGGGGCGAGTTAACCAACCCCCAACTTAAGAACTCCCTCCCATTATAGATGCTTAGCAGTCTTGACTGAAACATACTCACACAGTTTTTAAGAATTTGGACTAATGTAACTTTATCTATACATCAGATTCAAGTCATTTATAACATGACAGTGAAGACCTACATCTCAGGTAGAAATTTTCACAGGATCAACATCTATCTACATTATACAACACAGCAAATTAGTTTTTAAGGCTCAGTTATAAGCAAACTATAATTTAATCAAGTTCTTCTAATTACAAGAGTTCCAAGACATGAGATACAGTAAAGTAGTTATAGAATTTTAAAGCAGAAATAGTGTAAGTTAACATCTCCCAAAGGGGTCTGGTTGCACAGTTGTTAAAGCATTTAGCTGTTAACAAAGAGATTGGTGGTTTGAACCATCAGCCACTCTGCGGGAGAAAAATGAGGCAGTCTGCTTTTGTTAAGATACACAGTCTTGGAAACTCTATGGGGCAGTTCTACTCTGTCCTATATAGTCACTATGAGCTGGAATTGACTCAATGGCAGTGGGTTTTTTTTTTTTTTGGTTTTAGCATCTTCCATTTCTTGCTAACTAAGCATATGAAAGTAAATACAGAAAACATGGTTCAACTCTTGCCTGTAGGGACACTCTTCTCCTCTTTTGCACTCTCCTTTCACCCAGAAGGAGCAAATGTGGGGTCGATTCCTTTTGTAGTAAGGTGTAGTCCGGGCCAGTTTGAGCAGCATGTCACTAGTGGATGTAGCTTTCCCCAGCATGCCAACTGGCCGTGTTCCATCAGAGTTAGAAATCTATACAAATTTTGAAATGACACATTCAAAAGATAAGACAATCAATCCACTAAGAATTCTGTATCAAATATAAAGCTACATCAAGGAAGTGGCAGCAAACCTCTCTTTCCATATTCTGTGTGTAGTACTCTTTGTTGACGTCTGACTTTGGCATGTCATCTTTAAAAGACAATCCTGCATCACGAACCTGGATGGGCAGGCCTTGTATAAACGACAGGAGGGAAAAAATGCAGGTATGTTTAAAACATATCTATACAGGTAGTCCCCAGGTTATGCACGAGATCCATTTCTAAGAGTGTCTTTAAGCTGACTGTGTGTGCAAGTTTGAACAGGGGCATACTGCTCTTACTTAGCTTTACTTTAATGCAAGAAAGGAACTCTGGTAGTATAGTGGCTAAGGCATGCAGCTGCTAACCAAAAGGTCAGTGCTTTGAACCCACTAGCTGCTCCATAGGACGAAGATGAGGCAGTATGCTTTTGTAAAGATTTACAGCCTCGGAAACCATACGGGACAGTTCTACTCTGTCGTATAGGGTAGTTATGAGTCAGAATCGCCTTGATGGCAACGCGTTTGGTTTGGTTTTGGTTTTAGTGCAAAAAGCTCAAAGCCTTTTTAATGATTTCAAAGCTGCACATGCAGCAAGTGAAAGTGATTGTGATGAAGAATTTGTTGGGAATAGGTGTTGGTGCAATCATTTGAAAGTGAGGGCAAATTTACATCACATTAAAGGGCAAGTACTACCCTGGGTCTGTAACCCAGGGGCTTACTGTACTTAATATACAGTATACAACATTTCATCACCCTTCCTTTCTCCAGTCTCCCATTTGGTACCAGAGGCTTTATTACATTTTTATTCAAAGTCTCAGCACCATCAGCCTTATATGGTTACAGAGCATTCTAGGAAATAGCCAAATTCCTGAACTGTCATAAAATTTGATGAAAGGAATATTTTAGAAAATCTTTTAGAGGAACAAACTTTGATTACATTAGATTTGACCTGTAATGTATTGATTTTTAATATTACAAGATTTAATTTAAAATAAGTATAAAACACGGTTTATTTTTAGACTAGTACTATAGATCCTTTAGGCTGGTACCACAGTCATAGTCATGTAAGTCATTCTATTCTAAATTCAAAATACTCCTTTAACAAATATTTAAATAATATTAAACAGTATGTGGCAAGACTCTCATTAACAAAGTAAGTTTCTGAACTTACCATACATAAACTCACATTTCCCTCTTCTATTTTGATGTATGAAACACCCTTGTTGAGTAATTATTTAAAATCAAAAACTCACCTCCTATTTAAAAATACATAACTTCCCAAAGCTGTTACTTTGAAACAGTAGTGATATAACAAGGTCTTGTCCTAACAACACAATTTATATAAAAATATAAAGCAGAATCAGTCTGTAAGCTTCAAGTTGTGATTATGGAAAAAAACCTGTGGATCTAGAAAGAGGCCCATATCATAGGATTAATAGCTTTTACCTGTTTTGCTACAGACCCATGTATGGGGGTGGTTAGGACAATTCTGATTAATTTCCACCTTTTTCTAAAATTCTTATTCAGGAGGACACTAGAATGGTTTAGCATGGTTCTCCTGTTCCTGGGAAAGGCAGACTACATTGTAAAACTGGGTCAGACCACTGGGAACTTAAAAGCTTGCAAGCAGCCATCTAGATGCAGTGTAGGGTCTCTCTTCTCCAGCGCAAAGAAGAATGAAGAAAACCAAAGATGCATGGAAACAATTAGTCCAAGAGACTGGTACACCATACAATCCTTAGCCTGTATGACTATGAGACCAGAAGAACTAGATTGTCCCTAGCTACCACCATCAACCACTTGGAGGCAGATCTATGTAGGAGATCCTGGATAGAGAGGGAGAACAATGTGGAACAAAACTCAAAATCATTAAAAAAAAAAAAAAAAAGTGACCAGGTTTGCTGGTCTGACAGAGGCTGGTGAAACCCAAGACTATGGCCCCTAGCTGTACTTCAGGTCTAGAACTGAACCCACTCCCATGGCTTCTAGCCAAACAAAAGACATTTACATTAGGTAGATACACTCCTTGGAGAGATCAATCATGGGAGATTGGAGGGCTGTGCATGCACAGGGAGACAGCTCAGGGCTCAGGGGACAGGAGTACATGGGAGGGAAAGATGCAAGGAAGAGATGGCTATGGGGAGAAAGTGGAAGGAGAGCTGTTGCACTGTGGAAGATTACAGTCAATGGTGGCATGAGACAAAGTGTATGTGAACCGCTGAATGGAAGATGAATTTGCTCTGTAAATTTTCATCCAACTCACCAAAAAAAAAAAACCTGGGTCAGATCAGAGATAGGGTGAGAAGTGGGAAACAAAAAGACTAATTTGTTGTCTAGAGCTCCTGTACCTTCTACTTTTAGATCTGACAGGGCAAACATACCATATTCTAGGTCCAATAGGCAGGTCTGACAGACATTCTTTAATTTGCTGCAGGTCTGGCATACTTCAGTCTTCTTGAAACGCATGCGGACCCCAGGGCACCAGCGAAACACTGTGAATGGCCTGGCACAGATCTGGAACACAAAGTAAGAGCCACAAAGTGTTAATGGCCCTGACCCAGACAATCAATCCACTGACTTAATAACAACAGGATTCAAAGAAAGAGTTCCTGAACTAAGGGTTTGGAAGAGATCATAGCAATCATCTAGTCTGAATGTTGTATGATGGTTCCATGCCATTTATAGTACCCTTTCCCAATACTTAAAAAATTCATACAATACAGAAATGAAATATTCAAAAAGAAAAGTCTCCCTATCTGTTAATAATATGACCTTTAACTATTTTAGGAGGAAATGTGAAAGTGTCATATACTTTTTTTTTTTAAAGTAAACAAGTAATTTTATTTTAAGAGCTTGTTTTGCCATCTCCAACAATTAGAGAAAGAACAGCAAGAAAAGCCTACAGTCACCAGAAGGAAGGAAATAATCAAGATTCGAGCAGAAATCAATGAAAC